TTTTACTTTTGTTTTAACCAGTATATTCTCTAGTCATCACCAGGTGTTGTAAGTTGTATCAAATTGACATAGTTGATAGTGTATAAGATGATCCATCTCAGTTTCAACAGGGAATGTTCAAATATATATTTTAATATATTTATGGATTTCACCTTTACAGATATGATACTCTGCGTTTTGTTGAATATCAGTTTTACTTAAAATAATTGAATCGTATCTGAGATGCATTTATATTTTTTTTTCTTAGCTGAAGACTTTTCATTATTACGTTGTGAATAAAATTTCTTTCATCTTATTTCTGCTACACCTTATTCAAACTCACTCCAGTATTCAACAGGTTTATGTTAGCAGCATGTATTCTAAATCTAGAGGTCTGTTATTTCATGATTCATTCTTTTTAACCATTATAGGATATTTACCTTTTAAATTAAATCTGATCCACAAATATATTTTAGATATTTTTTAATCTTTAAAAATTCAAAATAATTTTCCTTTTTATATTTTTATTTAATATTTTAAAAAAGAGGTAGAAAATTTAATGTTTGCAATTAGAATGGATGTATTAAACCAACAGAAAAGAATAACATTTATATTTTATAAAGAGAAACAAAATCAGTTTGTCATTCCTCTTTCATCAGAGTTCAATTGAGGACAATAAATGTTCACATCAGTTATTGTTTTAGCCTATCTATTTTAATTAGTTAATAAATTCTGTACTCCTTTTTAAATATTTGCAAACTAGTTATAGAACAAGAAACAGTTATGCAAAGGAGCAACAGAAATCATTTTTTATACTATTGCTCACCCAATTCAAGGCTGAAGATCCACTCAAGGTAGAGGGTTGTTTTATGAACATAAGAATTATAGGTTATGAGTATATACAAGGTTGATGATAGTTGGTTCAAAACTTGAAGAGGTTAAGATGACAGTGGTCAGAGAAGCATCCTTACAGGAGTCTGTTCCACAAAGCAGTATCTCTTGGGAAGAAAGTGTCCAAATAGAACTTTCTTCTTGACAATGTAATGTGCAGGGAATGAGGGTGCCCTTGTGTACATGGCATAGCAGGTCTTAGCTATAAATGTCTGAACTGATGGAACTAAATCAAAGAAAAAATTTCTCAGAATTTATAGAGTATATCTTATATGTAATCAGATCCAGCAATCATTTGAAACTGAAGTCATTTCAGGTATTCCACAAAGACTCTTCCAAATCTATCAGAAAGGTAGTTTCTTGATTTAAGGGGTGAAATAGTAGGTTACAACACCTGGCAAAGACTAGAGAATTTATAAAAACACATGTGGTTGTTATTAAGAATAATATCTTGACATGATACCTAATCTCAGAACTTGAGATAGTTGTTAACAGATTACTTTGTTGGTCTAAGTAATTTGTTGAATCATGATGTTGAAACTGAATTAACATTCAATCAAGTAAAAGCATTCAGCTGACCATTACTTCAGAAATATTTCTCATTTCTGATGTTGAAGAAATGAAACAGTCTTTCTTACTTTACAAAACTAAGAACAAACACAGAAGAACCTTCAGTTGTCTCATTACTCTTGCTTCAGAAGGACAATCAATAGAACATATAGGTGAATCAGCTTCCTTACTTCTAATTGAAGCTACAACAATTTCTCAAGTGCAGGCAACACAGAGCAAACTACTTTGGTAAATATTAACTTTACTGGACTAATATCCCAATTATTACAAAGGTCATTTCTTTTTCTTTGGGGGTAAAAAGCTCAGTTTTTCTATTCCCATTAACTAGAAAAAATGGTGTATTCTTCATACCAGGATTTAGATTTCCAATGTGCATTATGAAGAACTTTCTACAGCACTTGTTCTCTAAGTTGGCATAGGAAGAAGATTAAGAAAAAAATTATTTTATGGAAAAAACAGCAGATATATATATATATATATATATATATATAAAATTCTTTAGTTTCTGTCATCTCTTTTTTTATGAAGTTTGACCAACCAAGGTCACTGTTTTCATGAGAACCAGCCAGTGTTTGCATCAATTCAAGTGTTTATGTTGAAATTGATTAGTTTTTTTTTATGGCTTATCAACCCTCTGTGGTTTATTTAAAGCCAAAATATATTATGTATTGCTTACAGTACCTGGTGTTCCCAAGTGGTCTTCCTAAATACTGACCAGTCTTGATAATGCTTAACTTCAATAATCAAATGAGGAATAGTGTTTTTAGTGTGATTCAACCACAGGCATGTAAAGCACCAAAACAGACTAGTTTGGTGTCTGTAAGAAAACACTTGCATAGAGAAATATTTTTAGCAGCATTCAATCAAGCTGAAGTCTTAATGAAACTTGACAAAATTACAAATTTTAAACAAGCTGTGCTCTTCACTTGAATTTCTATTAAATTTCTGCAGACCATAGAAATATCTTATGTAATATCTCATCAGGCAATTCCAAGTGTTATTAGTAATATTTTAGCCAGTTATTGACTAATGGGAATGTAAAAACGGAGCTCTCTAAATATTAAAAAAATAAACAAAGCACAGAAAAATAAACCTTAGAATTCATTGGGAGACAATATAATTGGTCCATGCTTGTAAAGTTAACAGTAACCTCTACTTAAATTTTTCTAAAGCAAAAATGGCAGAAAATAAAAAAAACAAACAACCCAAAACATACACACATGAAAAAATTCTATAAAATAAACCTTATTAGGGCTAAAGCACTGACTAATTATAAAAATTTATAAGAAAAAACAATCACCTGTGAATCGACTGACGTATATTCTTCCTCGTAAGTTGAGTGGTTCTAATGTAAATTAAGAAAGAAAGGGTGTAAGTTGTGTGGGTGGGTAGAAAGAAATTGACAAATGGTAAACATATTTATGTACTGAATATTCAATATTACAAAAGTCTAAACTAATAATATGAAAGGATAGACAGTTTGAGACAGGTTGATGGAGAGCTGTAGATTTCAAATTGAAAAGGCTGAGAAGGAAATTTATAGACACAGAGACTAATAATTTAGCACAGAAACAAAATGACTGGCAAACAATTCATATTTCTGGTAGTTACATGGAGAGATGAGACATTTAAAGAGTAGCAAAGATACAAACAGTTTGTAGAAATGAATTAGATTATTGAAGTGATAGATATGAATGGACTTCTATAATTATCAGTATAGATAAGGAGAAAGATGTTTTTTTTCCTTATTTATAAATGACAGGATATAACAAAAATAATACATGGTAGTGGTGAGATTAACCATTTCCATACAGGAAATATTTGACATTCATTGACCAAGCAGAGTGTTTGCCGGTTTAAAAACAGTTTTTCAAGAAAATGAGTTACTCAAATTCACTGTTAGTTATCACACAATTATTGATAGCTTTCCTTCCTAACCTTTTCAGGTAGTGCGAATAGTCAATATCTTTATTATATTATTTTCTCAAGTTACATGTGCTATCATTTTTAGTTGTTACTGCTGTTCAAAATAAGTAATGTGGTTTCTGTTATTTGGTATAGTTCTTTGGTTATGCTTCTGCAATGCCAGCCATTGAGATCTGATGAAGGGTAATAATCTCCAATATTTAGAATTTCATTTTAAGCCATTTTTAATCATTGATCTGAGAAAACTGTTGCCTATAGCCGATACCTTGAACATTCCTAAACAAGTTGGATCCTATACATGCCATTCAAATGAGAGACTAGATCTGATAAAGGGTGGTACTTTAGTGTGTTATCTACAAGGAAGAAATATCTAAACCATACAAATTTTATTTTGGAATGATATTTACATAAAACATATAACAAAGAAACTAATTAAAATATTGAATTTTTTTCTTTTATTTATGTTCTAGTGATAAGCAGCATATACATCTGCTAAAATATCTACACAGTACAAATTTTAATTTGGAATGATATCTACATAGTAAAATATGTTGCTACTTTGGTTTGTTAACAAGAAAAAGATAAGCACCTGTTTTACTATGTAGATATCATTCCAAATTAAAATTTGTACAGTGTAGATATTTTTTTCTTGTAGACAGCAAATCAAAGTAACACCTTATAATGATTTGGCTTTATAGCAACTTGTAATGCTGGACAAAACTATCCATAATACAGCCTATTCTATGTTCAGTTTCCTTATCTCCTAATATAAATTTGTTATAATAGATTAATACACCAATGTATTTGAAGTGCTTAACTTAACATTCTGAATTTTAATGATGGTTTCAGGGTATATCACATCATTGCTTTTATTCCAAGTTCAAATCATCGTTATCATTTTGGAAAGGTTTATCTTAAGCCTTACATCATGGAACCTTTGGTAAAGAATGTTGATTTTTTTTGTTCAAGGACCTAGGTCATCAGCAGATCCCTGCCCCATCATCAGTACACTGACCTCTAATAGGAAAACAAGAATACAGTTTTCTATTGGTATCTTTATTCAGGGTGTCTTAGAGAATGTTTAAAAGATCAATGCTCATTTCTCCATATCTGTGGAACGTAAATTACAGAAAGAGTAAAAAAATACCAAGAAGTACTTAAAATTAATAAATGCTATTTTAAAGGATATATAAATTTGAATTTTGATGCTATAAGTAAAAAGGATTAAATTCTGGTGAGTAAGGAAAAACAAAGGAGGAAGTGTCATAATTTGATTATGAAAATAAGAGCAAATTAGTAAAAGAAAATGAATGGGAAATAATTGGGCATATGTCAAAGAATGTTCAGCTTCAAGTATAATATTTGTTAGAAAAAATGTTCAGTGTAATCTTTTTTTAGGGGGGGGAGTAAGAATAGTAAATAATAGTGACATTGAAAACAATGGATGAATTTGAAAAAATAAAAGTAGTCTGGTTAATCGGTTTCATATTTTGACAGGTGTTGCCTTTCATTTGCAGTAAACAAGAAAATAATATTGTCTTTTTCTATTTTTATGTATGTGTTATCAAAAGAAATTTTTTTGTTCAATTTTTATCTTTGATAATTCAGAGGGTAAGAGACAGGGAACAATAAACCTAATGAAAAATGTAACAGAGACAAAAAAGAGAGAGAGAGAGGCAGACAGAAGAGCAAAGAGGAGAGGCAGACAGAAGAGCAAAGAGGAGAGGCAGACAGAAGAGCAAAGAGGAGGGCAGACAGAAGAGCAAAGAGGAGAGGCAGACAGAAGAGCAAAGAGGAGAGGCAGACAGAAGAGCAAAAGAGGAGAGGCAGACAGAAGAGCAAAGGGAGAGGCAGACAGAAGAGCAAAGAGAGAGGCAGACAGAAGAGCAAAGAGGAGAGGCAGACAGAAGAGCAAAGAGGAGAGGCAGACAGAAGAGCAAAGAGGAGAGGCAGACAGAAGAGCAAAGAGGAGAGGCAGACAGAAGAGCAAAGAGGAGAGGCAGACAGAAGAGCAAAGAGGAGAGGCAGACAGAAGAGCAAAGAGGAGGGCAGACAGAAGAGCAAAGAGGAGAGGCAGACAGAAGAGCAAAGAGGAGAGGCAGACAGAAGAGCAAAGAGGGAGAGGCAGACAGAAGAGCAAAGAGGAGAGGCAGACAGAAGAGCAAAGAGGGAGGAGGCAGACAGAAGAGCAAGAGGAGAGAGGCAGACAGAAGAGCAAAGAGGAGAGGCAGACAGACAGCAAAGCAGGCAGACAGAAGAGCAAAGAGGAGGGCAGACAGAAGAGCAAAGAGGAGAGGCAGACAGAAGAGCAAAGAGGAGAGGCAGACAGAAGAGCAAAAGAGGAGAGGCAGACAGAAGAGCAAAGAGGAGAGGCAGACAGAAGAGCAAAGAGGAGAGGCAGACAGAAGAGCAAAGAGGAGAGGCAGACAGAAGAGCAAAGAGGGGAGACAGAAGAGCAAAAAGGAGAGACCAGGGGACTGAAGACTGCAAAAGAGGGGGAGACCCCAAAAAACAGAGAGGGGGGAGACCCCAAAAAACAGAGAGGGGGGAGACCCCAAAAAACAGAGAGGGGGGAGACCCCAAAAAACAGAGAAGGGACAGAGAGAGAAACATAGAAAGGAAAGCAGAAAAAACAAACAAAAAATAAATAGAAAAGAAAGTGGAAAGACAAAATTGGTTTTGATAAGTGTGGATGGGATAAACAAAGCAATAAGACATGAAAATTAGGTGAATATATATCTATATATTTTATATTTGATAAATTGGAAATAAAGTGTTTAACTTAAGTGTTCTTTTTATTTATTCTTATTTTGAGAAAAAGTCATTATTTCAAGAATTTTTATGTATGTTGTTTATCTTGCTACCATAATATTTCAGCTAATACTTTTTTCCAGCCTTCTTCAGGTGTACAAAAGGAAAGGGTGAAAGTCTATTATATATATATATATATATATATATATATATATATATATATATGTATGTGTGTGTATACATATATATATATATATATATATATATAAATAAAAATGATGCCCACAAGATAGAAAAGGTGGCTAATTTACTGGCTGGCTTAGCTTATTTCTGTTAAGTTCAGACTAAATTGTTGGCAAGAAGACAAAAGCAGAAATTCTTGTGGTTTCCTGTCTAGTGCTTTACCTATTGAAGCATTATGGACTTTCTTGTGAAAATGTAAATATTTTGCTTAATTGAATATTGAAGATTGTATAAAAGATTTTCAGTAGAAGGAAAAACCTTGAGTTTTAGATCAATATTTCACACATCTTAATAAATTTTGCCTGACTGGTTATACTTGCAACCAAGGCAGTTTTTAGTAGCAACATCAGCTTTTATAAAATTAAGCCTTACCAACTCTTCAAATGTTTTAACTCTTTCTTTCACATTAATTTTTTAGTTGCTTAAAATTAAGGTGAAAGAAAAGAGTTAGAGAATTGAAGATTTGGTAAGTTTTAAATCAATGGTAGTCATAAAATTGATATGAATGTTAGTTGACAATAATTTATCTAATATTTGATATATAATATCAGATATAACAATATACCACAGCTCATATTAACAGTGTAAGAAGAAAAAGAAATATGAAACCACAATAGATGAAAAAAGAATGAAGAGTAAGTTTTAATGTTAGATTAGATTTATTTAACAGTTCTCCTAGTTCAAACAAGAGCAGATGGCATATTTAACATGTCCTCTCTGTGGCAAAATCAGATGTAAGAGAATGTCTTGAAAGCACTTTTTATTTTTGGTCAAATATCTATACTATAAAGTGATTTACAAATAAAGCTACAATAATTAAATCAGTTGAAAACTAAACTTGAAAGTAAATACTATTTAAAAAAAAAAATATGGATAAATCTTTGCCCTAAATGGTCTTCACTGCTGAGCTATTATACATGGAGGCTGCAAAAGTACGTATTCACTAAATCTTATGCTAGTATCTTAATAGTGGTTCTAGGATATTTTGTGCACATATTTTGTTGTTCATTATTATATACTTAATTTTCCAAGAGCACACATTTTTCTTTAATAAGATTTCTCGAATGTCCAGGTCAATAGGCAAAAATAATTAAATATACTATTTAACAAATAAATGGAGCATATGAGCATACTAAAACGAAGAAAAAGAAAGCAAAAGAAAAAAAAAACACCATTTAAATTGATAAAAGCCTGTTGGATTAATGAATAAAAAATCCATTACTTCTTTATTGCATTGGTGAGAAGTAAGTTTCACTTGAATAGTTTCTTCTCGCAAGGCACTGCTCTGTGGAACTGATTCTCTGCTCAAGTCTAGTGTTAACCAGTATCTTCCCCTCCTATCTACATAAACTGACACTTACTGTAACCCTCTACCTCCAGTGGCCCCTGGTACTTGTACAGGGTGAACCTCACTTTTGTTTTGTTTTTTTATTTAAAAAAAAAAAAAAAAAAAAAAACTATTTTGTTTACATTTGAATATGAACCTAAGCGGATATGATAATTTCAAGGAATCTATGACAGGAAGGATTTCATATGTTGGATACCAGAGAGCACATATTCTTCTTTAATAAGATTTCTTGAATATTCAGGCGGCTAGACAAAAATAAATAAATATGCAGTTTAATAAATAAACAGTGTCTACTCAAATATGAGTATCTGCTAAAAAGAAAAAAAAAGTAATATAAATAATAATTGTGTAATAAACTTTAATAATTCGCATTTTCTCAGAGTCTTATGTAAACATACTTCACTGACCAGTTTCTAAAATTTTCTATCCATTTAGTTTAATCCAAAATACTGTATTTAATGGCACATAGAATACTGTACTTCCCCCACCCCCACCCCCACTACTAAAAATGTTTAAAATATGCCTTGAGTCTTATATGCAAAATTAAGGTATTTAGAAGGCTAATGTTTACCGAGACTCCAAAGAGCACAGAAACAGCTTGACCGAGACTCCAAAGAGCACAGAAACAGCTTGACCGAGACTCCAAAGAGCACAGAAACAGCTTGACCGAGACTCCAAAGAGCACAGAAACAGCTTGACCGAGACTCCAAAGAGCACAGAAACAGCTTGACCGAGACTCAAAGAGCACAGAAACAGCTTGACCGAGACTCCAAAGAGCACAGAAACAGCTTGACCGAGACTCCAAAGAGCACAGAAACAGCTTGACCAGAGACTCCAAAGAGCACAGAAACAGCTTGACCGAGACTCCAAAGAGCACAGAAACAGCTTGACCGAGACTCCAAAGAGCACAGAAACAGCTTGACCGAGACTCCAAAGAGCACAGAAACAGCTTGACCGAGACTCCAAAGAGCACAGAAACAGCTTGACCGAGAAATCCAAAGAGCACAGAAACAGCTTGGACTGAGACTCCAAAGAGCACAGAAACAGCTTGACCGAGACTCCAAAGAGCACAGAAACAGCTTGACCGGAGACTCAAAGAGCACAGAAACAGCTTGACCAGGACTCCAAAGAGCACAGAAACAGCTTGACTGAGACTCCAAAGAGCACAGAAACAGCTTGACTGAGACTCAAAAGAGCACAGAAACAGCTTGACTGAGACTCCAAAGAGCACAGAAACAGCTTGACTGAGACTCCAAAGAGCACAGAAACAGCTTGACCGAGACTCCAAAGAGCACAGAAACAGCTTGACTGAGACTCCAAAGAGCACAGAAACAGCTTGACCGAGACCCAAAGAGCACAGAAACAGCTTGACCGAGACTCCAAAGAGCACAGAAACAGCTTGACTGAGACTCCAAAGAGCACGAAACAGCTTGACTGAGACTCCAAAGAGCACAGAAACAGCTTGACCGAGACTCCAAAGAGCACAGAAAATGAGCTTGACTGAGACTCCAAAGAGCACAGAAACAGCTTGACCGAGACTCCAAAGAGCACAGAAACAGCTTGACCGAGACTCCAAAGAGCACAGAAACAGCTTGACCGAGACTCCAAAGAGCACAGAAACAGCTTGACTGAGACTCCAAAGAGCACAGAAACAGCTTGACTGAGACTCCAAAGAGCACAGAAACAGCTTGACTGAGACTCCAAAGAGCACAGAAACAGCTTGACTGAGACTCCAAAGAGCACAGAAACAGCTTGACCGAGACTCCAAAGAGCACAGAAACAGCACCGAGACTCAAAGAGCACAGAAACAGCTTGACCGAGACTCCAAAGAGCACAGAAACAGCTTGACCGAGACTCCAAAGAGCACAGAAACAGCTTGACCGAGACTCCAAAGAGCACAGAAACAGCTTGACCGAGACTCCAAAGAGCACCCAAACATGTAGCTAGCCTAATATCATAATATATATTTATTATTATTAAATTAATAATATTAATATGTATAATTGTCATCTAAAGTGACATGGACAAATAGTCAGAAATCAGAGAGGTCCACGTTGCTGTGTCCCAGTCTTGTGTTTATTTGTACTAAGCCCAAGGAGTCCATTATTTTCCATTATGACTCAAAGTAGGGGAAACAGTTCCTTTCTCCAAGACAACGTGCTTGGTGGATGTGTTTTTAATGTTACCTTCTAGCCTTTGCCCAAAGAGGTAGAACCTACAAGTGGTTGGATTTCTCAAGGTAGCCTGATGGAGCCCAACCATCTCCAGGCTGGTTTTGAATCCAGTTTTCATTTCTCCTAGACCAGTTGTCACCCAAGGATATAGGATCCAGTCTGTCCTGCTATTTATCCATAGCTGGTGGAGAAGAGCTGGATTCATACCTTTCCCAAGGGTATTAGCATAAAAGTGAATTAAATAAATTTGACTGGAATGTTAACTCATCTCTGATTTCTCAGTCTGAGCTGCTATCCATTACTCCATTTATATATATATATATATATATATATATATATATATATAATTTTTACTAATATTCACCCAATAAAAGGCCCAAGAGCCACTCAAGGTAGAGGGTTACTGTGTGACATTATATTAGCATAGGAAATGACAAGCATTAGGAATATAGAGCTGAAGTAGACTTTTGAAGGATCATGAAACGAGGTAAACCTTTACTCCTGTTTAAAAGACAAGGGGAGGAGTATGAACTGGACTACAGGCAAACCTATCTACTCCTATTGGTGGAGTACAGGAAAGAATTAAATAGTGAATAAAATTTCACAGTTCAGATGTAGACATTAAGAGCATGGTGCTGAATCAGACTCTAGAAGGAACCAGAAACCCAATCCTAAACAGGAAACCAAAGCTCTACTCTTGTTCAAAAGATCAGGCAGGAGTGTGAACTGATAAGCAAAACTATCTCAAAGATAATTATTAAAAATGTGAAAAATAACAACTTGATTATTTTTCAATACTACTAAGGAGAAAAAAAGGCCTGAGAAATGACAATAATGGATTTTTCAACCTTTGAAGAATTTTGTTTTCATTGAGTTATTTTGAGCAAGCTTTCATTTTTTTTTTAATGTCTAAATCAACAGGGATTAATAAAAAAAAAAGAAAAACGTAATTTGAATAAAAATTGGTTTAACCTAATTCCAAACTTCTCAATTAAATTCATGCAGGAATCCCAGTGGGCCCCATTCAGTTGCCACTCTGTTGGAAGTCTATTCTCAATTCCAAGTTTAAATTTCATTTTTGAGCATTCAATACAAATGTCATGAGAAAGTTCTTTTAAAATTAAAATGCTTCAATCTGATTCTTTGAATTGACATTTCAACCAGAGGTCAGTAAGCACATGAGAATTTAAATAAAAACTATTATACAAAACCAAAAACTGAAATGTAAAGTATTTAAAATCTATCAATATTATTTTTATATTGAAAAAAAAAAAAAAAAAAAAAAAAAATTAACAAGCATTGTCAGTAACAGCAGAATGGTCTAAGTCAAGAGAGTGCATGAAAATTTGCCCTTGATACTAAATTCTTAAGGTTTCATCAGGAAATGAGGCATGTTCTGGTCAAATACAATTTATCTGGAAACATAATCATTGTAAATTGTGTTGACTAAAAAATTATATAAATGGGAATTAGGATCGAATCTACACAGAGTCCATCATAAAAATTTACTAGGTTGAATAATGAATTATAAACACTTTAAAAACTTTTGTGTATAGATCAGTTATAATAAATTTAATATCACATAAGTTAAACACAGGATATGTTACAACTGGCATACTCTTTTACGTTAAATCAAAATATTGGCCTGAAATCTTGAGACATTTTTAAATAGCCTTGTCAGATCTAGACTTTTATACAAATCATCCAACACATTTTGAAATGTTTAAACTATTGTCTGTATATAGCCATTGTTCTTGGATCAATGATTAAAAATGGCTTCAAATTAATCCAATAAATCTTACAGATGATTTTTCCACAGATTGGTGCTATGAAAAACAAAGAACATTCTCAAATAATGAAAACTACATTATTCCAATAGCAGCAACAAAATGTGTTGCACATTTAACTTTTTTTTTTTTAATCACTTCATCTCAAGCAATGTAATAATGTCACTAAGGCACAAGGTGCTACTAGAAGTGAAAGAGAAGACTTTACAAAGGAACCAGAAATAAAGACTAAACCTTTACTACTATTCAAAAGACTGGGTAGGTGTGTGAACTGGACAAAAGAGAAAATGATATTGTCAGTCAAATTTCCACACTAACAAAAACAAAGAGATTAAAAGGAATATCCCATCAACATGAAAAAGAGCTCTTGAAAAGTTCAATTTCCTGAAAATATGTTTCAAGAAAAAGATTTTCAAAATTTCAACTGACAGTAACTGTTAAATAAATGAAACCAAATGTCTTCTGTATGTAAACAGTTAACTTTGCGATGATGTAAAAATCCTGAAGAGTTAATCAGTTTAAAAGGGAGATAACCGAGTGATGATTTGTTGTAGAGAATAGTGACGTTTATTCTTTGCTATTTCCATTGAGTACATTAGATATTGTAGTTTGAATGAAGGAAGAAAAGAGAATGCAATATCGCTTACCTCGTGGTGGTGGTGGGGAAAAAAGCGGTGACATGAGATTTCTTTTATAGAAAGATATTGTGGGAAAATAGAACTATGGAAAGGAAGAAAATGTATAAATGTTCACCGTAAATAGAAGTCGGGATGTTTTTCTTGTTTGTTTTGTACGAGAAAAGTTGTGAGAAGGAATAAGATTTAAGAGAAGGACGACAAAGATCTGAACCTTAGAAAATACTTTTTTGATTGTGGTCATTAAGTCAGTGTACATGCAGTTACATGTCGCAGAGAAACTATTGCAGTTCCAGCTGGTGCGCTATAAGGGGGAAACTTACTGCTGCATCGAAAAATAAAGTAGGGATCCTAAAAACTGTTATGATGAAGGGTAAGAATACAAAAGAAGCCATTGATTCGTATATTGATGACATCAAGATAGATGTAACAAAGGTATCAACGGATGAAGTGGTGAATCATCTTAAAGTATTTGGATTGACAGCAAAGCCACCAGAACCCTTTAGAAGGAGAGTCAACCTTTGGCCTTAAACTGAAAAAAAGGGGAAACGAGGTTTCACAAGTGACAAGAGTGATGAGTAGGCAGAAATTATTCTCTTTTTGTGGAAAGCTGTTGGGGCACTACCCTGTTGCCGGATGGCTGTGACTGGCATGCAGCTACGTGAAAAGAGGTAGTGGAATAGACTAGAAATGTGAAGTTGATGATGAAACTCTCTGTGATGCAGGAGATCTTAGCTGAGGAGGTAAAGAAAGAGGACACTGTGACCGGGACTTGGCACATTCCTAAAACGAAAACAGGAATAGTGTGGTACGATGCTAGCAGTCTTGCTAGAGGCGTAGTGATAGAGATCAGCGGTTTGCTGGCGGAAGATGCAGCATGGATGAGAAAAAAAGGACGACTATAACTACATCAAAATGTGGCTGAATTAGGTGTGCTAAAAGGTGTTATTTTGGCTTAAAAGAGGCGGTGGATATAAAGACTGATTCAGCCACAGAACTAAGTTGGGTGAACTCTACTGTAGAGGAGAGCAGAGGAACACGGACAAAAAGTGTTAGAGAAATGATAGTGAAGCGGAAATCAGGAATAATTGTAGAGTTCAAATTTGGATTATGGATGAAAGCAGTGTCTGTGAATTCGAAAAGAAATAAGGTGGATGCATTGACTCTATAAACAAAAAGTGATTCGCCGTCAGTGAGGACGAAGAGGCCCCAGTATGCTGTGTAGGGACCAGAGAACTAGAAGAGTTGCACGGTATACATCATATGGGATTGAATAGGACTATATTTGGTGTGAAAGTAGACTGTCCATAAAAAGGAGGAAGACCAGATGGTGGTCAGGAATTGTATTAGATGTCAATCAATTGAACCTGTCCTGAACGTGTAGGATCCTGTTGAGATTGGAATGACAAGCAATTGAACAAGGTTAGCTGTCGATATAACATTATCGTAGGGGTGCGTACTTGTCGATCATTGACTGTGGACCTGGGCGACTGGTGATATGGAGGAAATTGCATGCGGAAACGGTGATTCTGAATGAGGTTCAGTAGTGGACAATGGAACGGTTTCTCGCTTGGAATTCTTCCAAATGTTGCTTGAAAAATGGAAAATAAGAAGGCATTACATGTGAGGTGGGAAATGGAATAGTAGAAAGACACCATCGAACTGTGAAAGCAATAGCTAAGAGAGGAGAGATATTGTCTGTCGGAGCGACGTTTTGGTACAATATGGGGCCTAAGGTCGGACAGAGAATGGGGACGTTACCACAAAGTTCAGTTTTCACCTATGAGTGGAGGCAACCAAAAGATATGTCCCCGAATACTGATGAGGAAGTGCCGGCCAGAATCGAAATAAGGAAAGAATTTTGCATGAAGCCACCAATCGCACGGTGCATGAAGCAGTGAGTGAGAGAGGTGGTAACTGGGGCGCAATCACCTAACCACCTGGCTGTTAATGGTATGCCGTGGCATATTTCTTGAATTTAAGGCGAGTGATCCGTGTAGCTGATGAACAGGTAAATGTCGAACATGGATAAGATAGAAGTGAAATGGCACCAATACAAAGACTTCAGAGAGAGCGGAAAGAGCGAATCTGGGCATGTGACTGTGTGAAATGATCTGTTAGGATCATGGGGAACTGGAGTTAGAATGAAGGAAGTGAATGGAACGTCGTTTACCTCGTGGTGGTAGGGGTTAAGAAGCGGCGATAGGCGGCGATTTCTTTTATATAAAGATATTGCGGGAAGAGAGAATTATGGGTTGGAAGAAAAACTATAGAGTTCCTCCGAAAATAGGAGTCGGGATCTTTTTTTCATTCGTTTTGTACAAGAAAGGTTACAAAATTTAAGAGGACAAGAGAGATCTGATCCTAGGAGAACGTTTAAAAAAACAAAAAACAAAAAAAAAACAAAAAAAAACAAAAAACAAAACATTATTTTAAACCAAAAATATTGTTACACTATTTCCATCCCTTGGACTTTTGTCCTCATCTTTATTGCTATATTCACGATGTTTCGTCCATTGTCCTCTCCAGTCTTCTTCAGGTGATATTAGTCGGAATAGCACCTCAAGAAAACCAGAGCATACAATTGCTAAAACGTTGCGAATATGACAAAGATGAGGACAACAGTCCAAAGGATGGAAATAGGGTAGTTACAATACCTCATGTTCATATGAAACTCATTTCCACAGGTAATGTACAGAAATAGTTTAAGCCACAATTGTCAAAGCTTATAGAAGAGCCTCTCTTTTAGACAATTTATGTATAAAAAATTTTAAAGATAAACTTTTGAATAAAACATTAAATTGAAATATTTTCATAAATCTATAATACAAAACAATATGACTGTATATTAATTGGTTATGCATCCTTATCTTCTATAACAATGGAATATTTCATTAATCATTAGGAGATATCAGGATGACAGTACATGGATTTATATTTCTTATTGTTTCATGTTAGATTTCTTTAGATTCTTTTTACTTTTAATCATTTAAAAAACGGAATTCTTTCTTATATGTGATAATAGAGTTAATTGTATACATGCCAAATCTAGATTACTGTAGACATGTTAATTGATGCAGAAAATATAAGCAATTCAATTGCAAAATTGTTACCGTCATTTTTTAAGGTATATTCAAAAACACACAGGAATTTCTGAGAGTTAAAAATGTTCTTTAAATATCTTGCTTAAGTATATAAAAGGACTTGACATATTTTATTGATTCACCTGAGAGTTTTTATTGAACCTTGCTGGTTGAGTCCAACATCATTGGCAGCATTTTCTAGATTCTATAGGAGTACTGTGGCTACTGAAAAAGATGTGAAAATTCGCATAGTTAAAACCTGGGCCGCCTTGAATAAAAAATGGATTTAATCTGGAAATCTGAGCTACCAGGCAACCTCAAGCGGAGATTCTTTCGAGCCACTGTAGAGGCGATGTTAATGTATGGTGCCATTGCTTAGACATTAACTAAATCCCTAGAGCCTAAGCTTGATGGAACCTACACTCGGATGTTGAGTGTTTTACTTAAAATCTCTAAATAAATCACCCATTGCTGATATTTATACAAACTTACGTGAATGCAAAATGTGCTTTGCAGAACAAGAACTCGAGAGTGATCTACTGTTCTGGACATCTAGCCATGGAGCAGGAAGAGTTAGTCATCCAGCAACCACCCACAATGACCAACTATGTTATGACACAGAATGCCTCCCTAATGACCTTCCGACCTTGATGCAGAACTATAATGTTTGGCCGTGACAGACTCAAATGTCCGAGCTAACTCGACCGAATAAAATAAAAAATAATATAATGAAATATGAAAATTGTTTAAGGGAGTAGGTTTATATATGTACATATTTCTTTTTTCCACATATATAGATGCAGCCTGCAATATAGCTAAAGTATAATGTGAAATTTTCATTGTATGATGCTCAATCTGTATTCACTACTGAAGTAAGGATATTGATAAAGTAGGAGAAAAAAAAACATGTTGTGTAAAATGTATGCTTCCTCCATCCATCAGATTGAACTTAATTTTCCTACTGCAAGGAATTATTTTTTCATTTTATTTGAATTAAAAAGGGGATAATATTTTTCAAAAATCGAGTCAAGCCACTGTGAAGCAATTTTTCATCAGATCTCATATTTCTGTAACGGATATTTTATTTTCAAACATGGGCCTTCATATGCCCCCAACCCCGAAAAAAAAACAAAAAAAACAAAAAAAAACAGGAATGTCAAAAGAACGGTTTTTGTGACACCCCTTTTGATTTTAAGTACCTTCACTCCCTGGCAAAGACTATTATTTTAAAAAGCGATGAATAGAATTGTAATAAAACCTAAACATATGATGAAACTAAATTTATACATTTTTTTTGTCCTTGAGAATTAATAAAAATAATAAACAATATTAATTTATTATATTGTTTATTGGAATGATTGGCAAAACCTTGGCTAATCTAATTGCCAAATGATTCAAACTTTATAAAATGGTAAATAATAAAGACTTACTTATAGTTGGTTTACATATTTTAATAATTTAGTAAATATGTTTATAAATTTATGAATAAAATTTGTTTTCACCTTTCTTTATGAATTGGCAAATGATAAATATTGCATTTTATTACTTTTTAGAATGTTGTAAATGTAAACACCTCTTCAGTTCTCGGTCGAGTTTAAATGTCAACAGGAGCACAATGCACAGGCCCTCCCCTGAGAGAACATTCATTTATCGGGGCAAGTGAAAATTCAGGGTTCTGATGGAACGCTACTAGTTTGGATTTCGAGGCACTGAATGTAACCAGCCAGTTTTCCTCCCCACTGAGCTGTTAAAACTAGGTCAGCGGAGAGATCAACTCCCAGGCGCTGGTCATCTAGAGATTTGGAAATGTATCCATATACCGTTGTTTCATCAGAATAGCTATTTCAAAATTATTGGAATATGCTCTTGGTAGATCATTCATGTAATGTATAAAGAGGGTTGAACCGAGATGCGAGCCTTGGTGGACCCTTACGTTGATCGCTTGGACCGTTAACAACTACATTCAGAGACCTAACTGTTTTAAAGTACCAGTGATTCCATAGGTAAAGAACTTGTGCAGTAACTCTCTATGCCACACCTTTTCCAAGGCCTTTGAAATATTTAATTCTATAGTCTTGAGATATTGAGATATATCTAATGCCTCACTTATTCTGTGAGTAATGATAATTAGGACATTAGCAGAGGACAAAGGTGATCAAAATATGTACTACTTGTAACTCTTATCCTTATAGGTTATACCTAGCTGTAAAAGTCTGAATTCTGAACCTTTTTCTATGGAAATAACGATAAGCTAAAAACGTTTCGTCAGTGGGAATGGCCTGTAGGATTGAAAATAATCGCCTACAAAACCGCGTAAACACATTTGAACTCTATCACGACTGGAAAGTGAGGACTGGGCAACCTATTTGCGTGTACAGAGAAAACTTCCAAGTAACTGGAATGAATTTAGTTATGCCAACATAAATTTTATTTAATTTACGCTTCTGAAGGCTATGATTATTATATAAACTATATTATCTAAGCTATTAAATTGTACCCTTTGTTAGATGTTATAATATTGGATACTAATACTGAGATTCTGGCAAACTATTTTAATCTAGCATTCAAAGTCGTAGAAGATGCTCGCAGAATTCCGGAAATTGTTTTTAATAATTTCACCCCAAGCAAAGCGGAAATGCCACTCGTATGCAGTGTATTACAGGAAATGAAATTGAAAGAAAAGAATGAACATAGGAAGGATTGAGGAAAGGATAAAAGATGAACGGCATTCAAGATGACAGAAGATAACGATTGACATTGGATTTCAATTTCTGAAGATTGTAGTTATCAGGGAAGCAAGTAAACGGAAGGGCGTTCCACAGGCAGGAAGTGCGATAAAAAACTGCCAGAGTAGAAGTAGCAGTTGAATTTAGCTATTTCAACAGTAAACGAGAGTAACCTAAATGCCAATCTAATAGCACGCTTAAATTCATGTAGTCGGGACACAAAAAAAACAAAACAATATCTTTACTGTCTATATAACGAGTTACCATACAGTTACACATATACTTTAACACACGCTGGTCAACACAGATACAGTAGCAGTAAAGTTGAAGGCTCTACCTAGTTCTACTGAACCCTACGTGACTGGTTCAATCACGGCCCGTCTTCCCCACCCCACGCCTAGCAGGAGATATTAAGCTCTTGGTTTCTTTTTACCATCAGGACGTAGATAGAGCAACAAAGTCTCATTTGTCCCTCTTCTGACAGCTCATGCCGTGTCTTTTCGAAAACAGAACTTTCATCATTTTATAACAAAAATCATTTCACAAAAAGGTAAAAGTTTTATGTTGTATATTGTTTCACAATAGAATGAATGTGTTTGGTATATCATCGTCAGTGTAGATTGTGAAATCTCTTCCCTCCAGCAGATGGCGGAAATGTTTGATGACTAAGTAGATAGCCAGTAGTTCTCTGGAGAATGTATTGTATTTGGTTTGAGCTGATGAGAGTTTAGCCAAGACGGTGGCGATTGGTTTACGCTGATACTTTAGTTCTTGCTCAATGACTGCGTTTACCTCTGCGTCATATGCGTCGGTAGTCAGTAATATTTTTGCTTGTGGATCGTTTTCGATAAATGACAATTTTTTGAAGTCGGCGTGTGCGGTATTTTGCATTGTTGAATGCATGCATAGCATTGCCTTTCAAAGTTATGTTTATTTTTGTTCTTCTGGAGATTTGTTAAGGGATGAAGTATTTCTAAATAATTCGTCACTAATCTTCGATATAAATTGATCATTCCTATGAAACATCGTAGATGTCTGATTGAAGTTGGTGTAGGAAAGTTTTGGGTGGCTTCAGTCTTCTCTGATAGGAGCGAGATAACATCGGCGTCAATGTTCTGTCCAAGGAATTTGGTGCTTGGCGAGCCAAAGACACATTTGTCGAAATTAATCTGAGCACCAAAATAAGAATCTTTGAAACACTTCATGGAGATGCTGTTTATGTGCATTGACGTCATCGATAGTTATCAGGATATAGTCAATATACGCGAAGGCAAGACCGCGTAACAT